CCTACTTTAAAGGTGCCTTCTCTATGAGATGGGAAGCAATGCAGTCTGTCTCCTTTGAGCTCCCCCTTGGACTCACTCATCCCCACTTTTGGCATTTCTCACATACTGCCTGTTATTTTTACTTAACTCTTTCAAATCTTTGCCTCTAGTGTCCTCAGTTAGCTACTGGAGGCTAGGAACTACGTCATATCCTTCTCATATTGCTCCCACAAATGCCAGCTCCATTAGCCCCTAAAATATGTTTAATGAATATTTGTTGACTTGCAAATCTTGGGATTAGGAAATCTGGAATAATTTGTTACTCATTGAGGGAGGTGTTCTGTGTCCTTTGGAAACTTTCTGATCACATGGAAAGAACATTAAACAAAGAGACAGGAGCCTCCGCTTCCAATCGTGACTGTGTTACAAACTCCCACTGTGACCTACAGCCAATCACTTTCCTTCTCTTGCTGTCACTTCCCTCATTTGGGAAACCAGGGTTGATCTGTAAAGTTTCTTTTAGCTCTGGGTTTGAGGTGCTCTAGACAACAAGGGGCAGCCTTTTTCATGTCAGTGCTATTAATGCAGAAAGTGACTTCTTTTTCCCTGTAAGGACTGCCTAATTGATGGGTCACCTGCAGTGTATATTAAAACTCGAGAGATAGTAAGTGCTTTGGTCAGGCTTCCATGCCTAGCATGCATGCATGTGTGTATGTGGGGGGGGGGTTGCTCACTCCTCATCCCAGGCCCCTGGCTTTGACTGGATTCTTCAAGCCCAGAGCTGTTTAGTAGCCCTTCCCAAGTATAGGACTGTAAACCCTTAATTATATGCATGCCCCTCTGCTCTGTGAATGACACAAGATAAAGGTATGACATTCCAGCTGGGTTTCGTCTTGTCCCTCTGCACTTTCCCGCCCAAGGCCATAATGTCCACTTCCATGTTCAGTACAATCTGTTCACATACTATCCTCTGAGAAGGAGATGAAAGACACAAGACACTAATCTTTGCCCTCATGTAACTTCTAGTCTGCCTGGGAAGTAGGGGCAAGAACATATGGGAAAAGATGTGTTACCATATGGAAGGGAGGATCTAGGAGTTAAGTGGTGCTTTGATACAGTGCCAGTACCTAGAACAGTGCCTGATACATAGAAAATGCTCAACAGATACATTAAAAATAGGTGAAATTGCATTGGTTTTCAAACCTTTTAGTTCAAAGAAGGGAAAGCTTTTCTTCAATGAAACAGATGGATGTAAGGCTGCTCTGTTAAGAGGAGCTAGGTGGAGCCTGCCTGCTCAGGTCTCCTCTGGGCACCAGAGAGGTTCTTCAGAGCCCAGTCACTTACTGCGCTCAGTTGGAAAGGAGTCAGAGATCAACTTGCTGTTTTTCCTGGTTAACCTTAGCAAAATAAATGGAGGTCTGAAGAACCTGGCCCTCCAAAGGGAATATCTGCCATCTGAAAAAGTGTTGTCAATCTCTTCTCTCCTCTCCTTCTGGGGAGCTCCAATTAGTAAGGCCAAGGGGAAGAAGTTTTGAGTAGGAGACTTCTGAGTTGGTCTACGAATGTATATCAATGTAATGTCTGTTAACTTTAAATAAAGAAGAAAAGCCCGGCTGACATGGCTCAGCAGCTGAGCATTGACCTATGATCCAGGAGATTGTGGTTCAATTCCAGGTCAGGGCACATGCCTGGGTTTCGGGCAGGCTCAGGCCCCAGCAGGGGGTGTGCAGGAGACAGCCAATCAATGATTCTTTCATCATTGATGTTTCTATCTCTCCCTCTTCCTTCCTCTCTCTGAAATCAATAAAAATGTGTTTTAAAAAATAAAGAAAGAAGGAAAGAAAACCACTGTGGTAATGTTTGCCAGTATTCAACAGAAAGCCATTTGGTGTTGTCTTCCAAATGGTTTGAAAGTACAATGTAAAACTCTCATGAAGTCTGTTCAGTGAATAGATGGTGCTGTCTTTTGCACAGCGCACCCTGCATCACCCTGGCAGCTACTAACATTCCTGACCAAGTTCATGGTAACCCTGGGGCATATGCAGCTGCTAGAGAGGCTACCTGATGAGAAATCTCTACTCTATGCTTGCAGGACTGAGACCCACTGCCCAACTTGGCCTTCCCCTTGCCTATCCACCTCTGACCGGCAAGGGAGGGAAATCAACCCAGGTGATGCATATCTGTCAGGGTGATCCGAGGAGGAAGGCACATCCCAGATCTGCATCTAGAAGACAGTTTTGGGTAACTGACATCTATTTTTAAAAACTTGTCAAATGGAAAAGGCTCTTGAATTAAGAGATTTTCATAATTATCCATCTCATGGCTCTTTCATATAAATCTCTTTAACTGTGCCATAGACTATCCCTCCATACAGGTGCCAGAAGGGGCAGGCAGATAATGCTGGGGACCCTGCTATAGACTGAATGTGTCCCCCTAAATTCATAAATTGAAAGCTAATCCCCAATGAGATGTTATTTGGAGGTGGGGCTTTGGGGAGGTGATTAGGTTATGAGGGCTCCCTCACAAATGACATCTGTGTCCTTATAAAAGAGACCCCGGAGACATCCCTTGCCCTTTTCTGCCACGTGAAGTTATATCAAAAAGACAGCCATCTGAGCCAGGAAGCAGGTTCAGGCCAGACACTGAATCGGTCAGAGCAATGATCTTGGACTTCCCAACATCCAGAAATAAATTTCTCTGAGAAATAAATTTCTGGGCTTTTTACAATCCATTCAGTCTATGTTATTTTGTTATAGCAGCCTAAATAAACTAAGACACCTCACTCAACAGCAGGGGAAACTGAAGGGTGAAAGGAGCTCACTTTAGACAGCAAGTCACCAGGACCCTCAGCTTCTCCTCTATGCCAGGCATAGCCATCTCTTCCACGTCTTGGCCAGCCCCATGACTTTCTTCTCTTCAAAATCTGGCCCGGGCGTGACAGCCATCTATCCACCCCTGCCCTTCCAATACTACTGCAGACTTCACCCCTTGTCCAAGCCCCCACCCACAACATATAGCCTAGTCTTTCGTACTTAAGTAGTTGAGTTCGAATCATTAAATCTGGTCTTCGTATAGAAGCCACTCAAGGTTAGAACTGGAGGGAACAGTGGAGATTAGGGGAAACTAAGGCCTCCCCAGAGGTCCTGCCCAAGGTTAAGAAAAAAACCCACAAGTTTTCCTATGTGTCCCTTATGCCTTCCTGGCTACATCCTGAGTTCCTCTTTTTCTCGGTCTCTTTCCCCTTTGCTGCACAGTACTTGTTCTTTGTGACCTTAGTGTTGACTCAAGGAGGAATTAACGATCTAAACAACAAAGAGCCCAGACAGAGGCTGTGGTCCCCGGCTCTGAAACATGACTCGATCCCAACTAAGACCATCCTTGACATTGGTTCGGAAGCCCAAATGATGGCTCCCAGAATTTAGGTCACTTGCCCAAGGTCACTCGGTTAAGAAGTGGCCACAGCAGGAGCCAACTGCAGGTCCTCAGGCCCCAGGGGCGGCGCTCTGCCCTGGGCACTGCTCCAGGTACTGCCGGGAGCCACGCAGCGTGACGCCGGGGGAAGTGCGTTATTCCTTTAGGTCTCTAAGCATCGCCTGCTTACTTGTGCGTGTGGCTCCCGTCTAAAGTGTGGGAGTTGGAAAGACAGTGTAGGCGGTTCACGCTGGCCTTCTGTATATAATCCAGGCACCCTTGAGGGCCCCTAGCCATCGCTAGCCAAGCCCTCGCAGCTTGTGCGCAACCCTACCCCTCCCGCACAACCGCCGTTTGTGACTCGAGGATGTCTGAACTCAGGGCTCTGAAGTGGTGCACCTGGAGGCAGCTTGGCCGGCCGCTGGAGTGCGCGGGGATTCGCAGGCTTTCTCCAGAGTAGAGCTCTCAGGTCCTTCTCCCCTAGCCATTCTCCCACGCTCCCCCCCCTCCCAGTACCCACTGACCCCCTCAGGCCAAGTTCTCTTGGCTGCGCCCATCCGGCCGGTAGCCCCCAGGGCAGGGTGCGTCTCCAGTGCGGCGCCCGCCCCGGGCAGGTTCCCGCGTTGGGGGAGGGAGAGGTGAAGAATGGGGCACGCGGGGCTCCTCCCCCGGGCCGAGCTGGTGAGCGCATCTTCGCGCGACCCCCACCACTCAACTGGCTCCGCCGAACTTTTACACCACCCNCACCCGCGTTCTACGTGGCTTCCTGGGAGACCAAACGCACGCCTTTGGATAACTGTGTTCGCTACTTTTGGAGGACTCCTGGAGGAAGGCGGGCAGAGGCCGGGACCGGGGTGAGAGGGCTTCGCCGAGATCCTCCCAACCCACTTCCCTTCGCAAACAGCTGTAGTCGCCCCTAGAAGGATGAGACTTGGGCTTC